ACCGAGGAATCGAAGCTAACCCAAGGTAGATCACAACAATCCTGGAGCTCAGCTCCCCCCGATCAGTAAAAGAGGTGCAAAAGTTAATGGGGATGGCCACCGCGCTCAACAAGTTCATCAGTTGTTCCACAGATCGCTGCCGACAATTCTTTCATACACTACGGCAGGGCAAGGGTTTTGAATGGTCCTCCGAATGCGAAGCCGCTTTCAACGGCCTTAAGACATACCTCCGCTCAGTACCACTCTTGGCAATGCCCTCTCTTGGTGACCCGCTCATTATGTATCTGGTAGTTTCCGACCGGGCCGTCAGTGCCATGCTGATAAAGGAAGAGCTGGGAGAGCAACGGCCGGTGTATTATGTGATCAAAGTAATGGTTGATGCCCGAAACACGCTACCTTCTGCTGGAAAAGCTCATCCTAGCCCTAGTCATGGCGGCAAGGAAACTGATGCAATACTTCCAGGGTCATAGCATTGGGGTGCTAATAGACTATCCCCTCCGGTTTGTACTACGCAGTGTAGAAGCTTCCGGATGTGTTTCAAAGTGGGCTCTGGAACTCGGCCAATATGATATTCAATTTCTACCCAGAACCTCAATCAAAGGGCAGGTGCTTGCCGACTTTGTCGCCGAATTCACTGGTGTCCTGACCGACTTCATGCCTGACGAAATTCGACCAAAGCTGAACTAGAGGATTTATGTTGGGGATATTTGGCAGTTGTATTGCGATGGATCGTCCAATCAGCGGGGCAGTGGAGCCGGAGTTGTCATCATGTCTCCTGACGGCGCAATAATTGAGTAGGCCGTCAAGCTTGGCTTCGAAGCATCAAATAACGAAGCCGAATACAAAGCCCTCCTAGCCGGTTTACAGAACGCGCACGTTCTTGGCGCTCGGCGTTTGCTTGTGTTTTATGATTCAAAACTGGTGATCAACCAGCTAAAGGGGGAGTACACGGCAAGGAACGACCGCAGGGCCGCCTACATGAAAACGGCCAATTCCTTGTTGGCAAAATTCCACCATCATGAGTTGAACCAGATAACACGTGATTAGAACACCCATGCAGACGCCTTGGCTTGCCTAGCCTCCGCCATCAACTCAGAGATTAAACGGACTATCGAAGTAGGTTTCATCCCGGAGCCAAGCATTGGCCCTTCGGAGGAAGTCCAGATTAACGTTATAGAATCTGCCCCAAGCTAGATGGATCCCATTGCTGCTTTCCTGTCTTCTGACCAACTCCTAGAGGAGAAGAAAAAAGCGCACAAGTTGCGAAAAAGAGCCATGAGATACTACTTAGATCCGCAAGGAGGGCTCTATAAAAAATCCCTCTCTGGTCCATATTTGGAATACGTGCACCCAGACAAAGTTAAGGAGCTTTTGACTGAGATACATGAGGGCAGTTGTGGTGCCCATTCTGGGGGGTGTTCTTTGGCCCATCGAGCTATAACGCAGGGCTATTGTTGGCCGACAATGAGAGCGGACGACGAGTGTTATGCGAAAAAGTATGAACACTGCCAGAAGTTCTCCCCACTAATCCATTTGCTCGTAGAAGAGCTAAACTCTATTACCAGTCTCTGGCCGTTCGCCCAATGGGGGCTCGATATCGTAGGACCATTGCCAAGTGTCCCAGGGAATAAGCGATGCTTGATCGTCGCAACAGATTACTTCACAAAATGGGTCGAAGCGGAGGCATTAGTACACATTCGAGACGTTGATGTTAAACGCTTTGTGTGGAGGAACATCATAACACGATTCGGCATTCTAAGAGCCCTTATTTCAGACAACGGCACTCAATTTGATTGTGGTGTTTATCGAGAACTGTGCGACAAATATGGTATTCGGTCGTATTTTTCTACGCTGGCTTATCCCCAAAGCAATGGTCAGGCTGAAGCTTCAAACAAATCCATCCTGGACAGCATCAAGAAAAGGCTGGAGAAATCCAAAGGCAAATGGGTCGAAAAATTGCCGAGTGTATTGTGGGCTCATCGAACAACGCCGAGGAGATCAACTAGAGAAACTCCGTTTGCCCTATGCTTTGGCAACCAGGCGATCTTACCCTTGGAGATCGGCCTCCCGACCCTCAAGTCGCAAGTTTTTGATACAGGCCGAAACGACATGATGCTGGCTTTGGATTTGATTCTAATCAAGGAATGAAGAAACACCGCCCTTGCATCCATGACACGGTACCAGCAATAGTTGGCGAAATCATACAATCAACGAGTTCAGCTGTGCCGCTACACACCAAGAGAATTGGTCCTGAAGAAGGTGCTTCCAGTTGACAGGAAGTCGGCTGATGGAAAACTTGGTCCAAACTGGGACGGCCCCTATCAAATAGATTCCATCGCAGGAACAGGGGCATATCGGCTGAAAGATATGACAGGAAGGAGTCTTCCAAGGCCTTGGAACTCGACCCACTTGCGAAAGTTTTATCATTAAACCCGACTTGTGGGGAGTGATTTTAGTGTTAAACGATTCGCCATGTACAAATTCAACTTTTGTAATACGAGGATTCTAGTCGAAAATTGTTCTAAGTGTTCCGGAAATGCCTCCGGATTCAGAGCACCCTTCGTGGATATCACGATCGGCCAATCAAAGTCTCCGGATTCGGAGCCCCTTCGGCGCATGATGCCATTGGGCCGAAAAAGCCTTCAGATTCAGTGCGCCCTTTGTGGATATCACGATCGGCCAATCAAAGTCTCCGGATTTGGAGCCCCTTCGGCGCATGACACCGTTGGGCCGAAAAAGCCTCCAGATTCGGAGCGCCCTTCGTAGATATCATGATCGGCCAATCAAAGTCTCCAGATTTGGAGCACCCTTCGTGGATATCACGATCGGCCAATCAAAGTCTCCGGATTCGGAGCGCCCTTAGTGGATATCACGATCGGCCATTCAAAGTCTCCGGATTCGGAGCGCCCTTCATGGATATCACGATCGGCCAATCAAAGTCTCCGGATTCGGAGTGCCCTTCGTGGATATCACGATCGGCCAATCAAAGTCTCCGGATTCGGAGCGCCCTTCGTGGATATCACGATCGGCCACTCAAAGTCTCCGGATTTGGAGCCCCTTCGGCGCATGACGTCGTTGGGCTGAAAAAACCTCCGGATTTGGAGCGCCCTTCGTTGATATCACGATCGGCCAATCAAAGTCCGGATTCGGAGTCTTATCAACACCGTTTTTGGGCAATATATCGAGCATACTGAATAAATATTTAGTGACGTGCTCCATTAGGACGAGCCAGCTAAAACCGTTTATTCGAGCAATCTCTGTCCAATAAAGCACAAAGCATGCAAACATATATACGCCAAAGAATTACATAATTATGCAATTTGACAAGTAATTATAAGGCAACAGGAATATTAACAACATAGTATTTTATTCATCTGACAAGTAATTACATAATTTTCGATGCAATCCGCGCCTGAACATTACAACGAATATTTTTATTTGGCCTCTCCCTCATCGTCGCTCTTTTCGACCTCAAAGGCGAAAAAGGGAAAATGATTGCGTCGGTACTGCAGCAACGCCGAATCGATACCCTTTGCTTGAAGAGCTTCTGCGGCCTGAAGTGCCGCGATCCAACCGTGTTTAAATCCCTGATTCTCGCATCGGTAAACCTCCTCTGTAAGCTTCTCCTTCATTTTGTCGATCCCAACCTTCCGGCCCGCATGAAAGCCTTGCTCATAACCTTTGGATCTCGCATTTTCTACGGCAAACATGCTAGCCATGTCTCGATCGGCAATGGCATAACTCAATAGCCGTTGGGTGACCCTTTCTTCCACGATTGGATTAGATCGACCCGCCACGTGTAGCTCGGCGGCTTTAGCCATCCTAAGCTCATTAAGTTCGCGCTCGGCTTTCTCCGTCCAAACCTTCGAACTGCGGACCCTTTCGTCCATCTTCTCTATCTCCCGCCGCACGGCGCGCAAGCGCATGCCAACTTTATAAGCGGTGTACAGCCCCTTCACCGCCCCGTGGATTCCCTCTCGAAAAACATCGAAATCTTGTCGGCCAGCCATCGACTACTACACCTCCGGTGGAAAAATCTGTCGAGCAAATTTGACCGCCACCACTGTGTCCCTTATAATGGAGTCCGCCTCCGTCATCGGTCTATTCCCCATGAAAACAGCGAAACTCAACGGTCGCGGTCGCGGAGAGCTTCCCCGTTGCTGTTTCTCCTTCCGAGGTGATCTGCTTCGACGACTTGGAGGCTGACGTTTTTCCCGTTCTTTGGACGCCCCACTTCCCGCACGGGTGGCTTCTCTGCCGCGATTCATCACAGTATCAAGCTTAGCCAAAGTTCGACCTTCGCCTCTGCTGTTGAAGAAAACTCTATGTACCATTTGCAATAAGTTGCCTTAAAAACACAGTAAGCAAAGTTACTGGCGCAAACAGCCACCTCTTATTTATTTCTAATACTTGCAGCGCCCCCGAGGCAATTTCATTAACGCTACTCTCCAAATGACAGGGAAAATTTATTAATCTAGCCGGCCACGTACCCTGGCCTCATGCCGATCGATATGTGCCACAGCCAGTTCATTCACCAATTTTTGGCTTTTAAAACGGCCTAACTATCTAAACGGCAATTTTTGATCAATATTGCAGCATTATCAATTTTTGATCAATATTCCTAATGATTTTTGTGTTGGATTATATAATTGAACTATTACATTGAAGCATTATCAATTATTAGAGTTTATTATGAAACATTGAAGTTTTTTTTCATCATGAAATATGAAATTTTTTTCACATTATGAGTAAATTACCATTAGGAATTTTTTTCTTTATTATGAATAAATTTCATTTGTTCTTTAATTTGTGATCTCAACCAAGCCCATTAACAGGTTATGTTTGTCATTAAAAATAAATAAAAAGTCAATAAAGAGTTGTTAGTAACAACATCAATAAAAGCATGACAAAAATAAAAAATTTCATATTCTTCAATGGTCATTACAATTCAAAATACATGACATTTTATTACAATACAAACGCGAATATGAAATGGCGTTAGTCATATTCTCCAATACTCATTTTATTGGCACTGCAACACAAAATACAAGAGTGTGCTAAATCAACATTTTTACGATATTAATATTACATTTAATTCCTTCAATATTCAAACTCAATGGATTGTTCTTTACTTCATGAGTGTTGGTAGCCATAAATCTCTATGTTTGATTGTTATGGAATTACACCATGCCTAATAAGGTCTTCCTTTGTTTGACGTCTCGGACTCTGTCATCCAAAGTACTGCAATTACACCACAATTACATTTTTTGCTTCTAAATCTAATCTCAATGGTTTCATCCCCTATCTCCACCAGTACCAATAGATGTTGATGTTGAACATCTGGAAAAAAAAAATTCAAGCAAAAAATTCATAATCAAATTAAACCATATTGTTATCTCATAACAATTATGAACATTATGAGGTCATGCTCCATAAGAATCATTCGTCTAGTATTTTTCAACTTTTATAAATTTATAAGAATCAATCTTTTTTGATTCTCAGTTTTATAAATTCAACTTTCAACTTCTACATTTTTTGTGTCTTCTATTTCAGTCTCAATATCAATTTCGTCACAGTCCTCATTTGATCCACTCGATATTTCTTTATCCATACCTCTACAATGTAAATAACAAATTAAAAAAAAAAAATTATTCATAACAAAGGCCACAAAAACCCTAAGTAAGTAGAAAATTAAATTATTTTATTAACTTTCTGCTGAAAATTTGTAAAAAATCAAGCAAAATATTTAGTAATAAAAAATTCAAGAAGAGTAACAAAGATAAAAAAATTCAGCAAGACTGTGTGTAACAAAGATTTTCAGTAATAAAAAATTCAGCAATATGCTTAAGTGAAAGAGAGGAGTACCAGTCAATGACGGCAAAGACGAAGAAGGTAGGTCGCTCTTCGGACGATGCTTATCTTTCTCTCTCTCCCCAATTCGTTCTGAGAAGAAGGTATTCAACTTTCTCTCTCTCTATCAAGATTCTGAAAAGCGATTGCATTCGCCGTAACGGTGGCAGTGGTGTGATTGTGGTTGCGGGGTGTAAAGGTCGTAGCGTAACGGTTGCGGTAACCGGAACCGTAAATTTTTTTATTTTTTGCACAATTTGAAAAAAATTTACCGATACACATATTTTTTTTCCATGATCATATTTATTGGGTTTTAAAATAAATATTGATCAATTTTTATAAATTTTTAAGTATGATCCAATATATTTCATATTTTTAAATCACTATAAACTGAATTTTTTACATTTTATTTTAATAATTAATGACTTTATATTATACAAAAAATCAATCACTAACTATTATATATAAAATAAACAATAACAAAAGTAAGAAAATAAATAAAAGTGTAAATATATATTTATATACATATTTTAATCAAGCCAAATAGATAAAGATCACACTTATTATTATTATTATTATTATTATTATTATTATTATTATTATTATTATTATTATTATTATTATTATTATTATTATTATTATTATATAGATAGATACACACAAATAAAATGGTTGAATGATAGCAGCTGAATAGAATAGTATAGGTCTTACAGTTTCAACAAATCAATAACATGTTCTTCATCTTCCCTCTTCTCTCTCTCTATCTCTTGCTCCTTCATCTTCATTCTTTATCTTCCCTCTTCTCTCTATCCATCTTCCCCTATTTTTAACCTCTTTTTTTTGGTGTGTTTTTTCGAAAGAAGTGTTCGGAACCGTTACGTAACAGTGCGTAACAGGCCATTACGGCTGTTACGGCACCGTTACGACCGCTATGGCAATGACTACGACCAACACACCTGTGAATCTCAATCACACTACAAAAGCGGCTGTAACGGGTGGCGGTAATCACCACAACCGTTACGTAACAATGTTACGTAACGATTGCGGCCGCTTTTTAAAACCTTGCTCTCTATGGTCTTTCTAACTTCTCTTCTTTGTTTATTTTTTTTAATAATATGTTGGGGGCTCCACCAAGATGAGTTGGTTAATGTCAACTCATTCATGAAACCTTTTCTGATAAATCTTTCATGACCCCTAACATTATTGCATAATTTTCAACTCATTAAGTTTTCAAGACAAGTTTGAACAAGTGCTGTTTGGGAAGGGCTTATCGGCTATATGAGCCACATACGACAACACAGGCTCATTTAGCCACATGCGACAAAACACGGTACGCTAGGGTTGGAGAGGAACTCTTATACGGGTAAATTCACCAAAATACCCTCCATCTCTTTCCTTTGTTCATTTCGGGAATACGCAGCACCACACGCACACACAACACAAGCCAACGGATCTAGGGCACGGAAGGAGCGACCTAGGCGATCTCTCCCAACCACCGGCGACGACATCAAAATATGGCTTTGCTAGACCGATCGGCACCGAAATAGGCTTCTAGCGGCGGAGAAGAAGACCGAACCCTGTTCGATACACCACTGATTAACTGGTAACTCTTCCAAACCAGAACTGATTTCGTAGATCTTAATGCCCAATGCTTCATGAATGGAATGATTTTATTTTTTTCTACGTTTTTCCTTCCCCCACTTCAGATCGCAGTGTATTTTGGCCTGTATTGATCGTATGTCGTTGTAGAAAATTTTTTATGGTCTGATGGTCTGATGGTATGTTGATTAACTGGTAACTCTTCCAATTGATGGTATGTCATTGTATTGATGGTCTGAACTGATTTTATTTTTTTCTACGTTTTTTCTCCCCAAAATCTGTTCTTCATTCATACATATTATAAAATTTGGTTTATATTTTCACCAAGTAAATAAATACTTACAATTTCATATTTTTCTGATAAGTACAAAAATTAATTAACGAACTCAAAAAAATTAAAATTAGTATACATTTTTCTGTATATTAACAACAAAATTTAATGAATAACTAGTAACAAAAAACTTTCCTATAAATAAATATTTGTTCTTTATTAATTAACATTTTTCTGTAAGAAAATTAGTTTTTTTCCAGATTCTGTTCTTCATGAATAGACTGACATTGTAATTTAGAATATTTATTTAATGAAATATTGGTTATTTCAAATTACATTTTTGAATTTTCAGATTATGTTCTTCATGAATAAAGACTCACATTCTAATTTACATTTTTTAAATTATATTGGTTATCAAATTAATTTCATGAAATCCAATCCCAACACTGAACCTCTTCACACTTTTAACATAATTGGTCTTATATTTTTTAGAATACGTCTACGGACCAAACTTATCCCGAAATCACCCAGAAGGGTGATTATGTGATTGAGATTGAATTTGTATAATGTGATATCTATGTATAGAATAAATCTGAACTATTAGATGATAATTCTGGATAATTTCTGCATAGTTAAGTCTGGGTTTATAGTATTACTGTATTTTTTACATAATTATGCTGTTATATCAATTAGCCCTTTTTTTTTATTAATTGTATGAATGGAAAAAATGATAGTGTCATATTTTTTTGCTAGAAAAAATATTTTTATTTATCTATTAGTATTTATCCCACCATTTTTGTATTAGTTTTGATCATTTTAATCTTACTTAATGGGAGGTCAATCTAATTATATCAAAGATATTGAACTCACTATTTAAATAAATTAAAAAAATTAAATCTGATTTGTTAACAAAAAATTAAATCTAATTTGTTAAAAAATTAAAAAAATATAATTTGTTAACTAAAATTAAAAAAAAAATTTAATATACCCATTCATAAATTGTAATAATAATGAAATCACAAGTTCATAACTTGTAATAATTGGACAAATGAAATCACCAGTTCATAAATTGTAATAATTGGAAAAATGAAATCACGAGTTCATAAATTGTAATAATTGGAAAAATGAAATCACGAGTTCCGGGTACGAAATATTTTTACCAAACAAGTATGCCCTTTTTCCATGTGCATGTCAATTGTGGTATACTTTGATCTCCAATGTTAAAAATAAGTACAATCTTGCATGTTATACATATTTTTTTAGTATAGTCAAACACTTGAGGCAACCAACTGAAAATAATTACAATTACATATTTTACAACTCTAGTAATAATAATGTGCATAATTACAATAACATATATACGTGGTTACAACATAACTGTGTGCAAGTGCACATGGGTCGGTAACTACTCCTACCAATGTACTACTGATTGGAGATGCACAATACCCTTGTCATAATTAAGTGTCCATGATCGGAATCAAAAAGTTTTATTTTGTTCAGATTTGTACGTTTCGTTGTTCATTCATGTACATTTAAAAAAAATTACGCTATTGTTTGTAAATTGTAGCATGGCTTCGTTTACATCTACTGCAACTTCCAGTACATGGCCACGAATGTGTGCCTGTGGACATGGACCCTGTGTTGTTAAGATTTCCAGGTCCACCAAAAATCCAGGGCGTCCCTACTTTGCATGCCCCCGCCCTTTGGTGAGTGACCCATTCTTTTAGGTCATAACTGTCCTTCGTTAACAACCCATGAAACTAATAGTTCCATAATTTGCACTCATCAGCCCTGTGTCAGTTGGATTGGTTGGTTCGATGAACCCACGCGAGAAAACCAAGACTATGCGTCACCCAGGGATGAATTTGTCATGCAGTTGCGGGCTGATGTCATAGACATTCAACAATCCTTCCGTGTCCTTAAGACCATCGTGTATGTGCTATGCATTGTCGTTGTCGTTTTGTTGTTCCGTATGTAAGCAACGTTAAAAAATGTTTCAGTATGTACAAACACGTTACTATGTTGGTTGTTTATTGGTGGCATGTACAATAGTATGTACGAACACGTTACTATGTTGGTAGTTTCGAAACGGTAGACGTATTAATGACTATCATAACTATGTGCAATACTAACTTCTATGGAACCTGTGGTAGTATAAAATTAATGTGCAATGGTTAACTGCTGCGTTATTTAGCATCCTATCTCTCTGTTTCTATGTTATTAATGTGTAATGGCTTATGAATTTGTATATAACAACAGTATGTGTGATGGTAATCTTTTGTAACCGAACATTAGTAATGGCTTCCCTACGTACTTCTCCACGTACCCAATCCAAAAGCAAAGGCGTTGTCACTGACAAGTCAAGCAGTCTTGAAGATACACACAATCATTTAAGCCACAAGGCCACATGGGGCAGTGCCTCAACCCGAGTTTTCCTGCAATTGATTGCGAATGAGATAACTAAAGGCAATCGCCCATTCCTAGTCCTCAGCCAAACAGGGTACAAGTCCTTGGCAAGAAAATTTGAGAGAAAAACAGGAAGAAAACATGCACTCAAACAGTTGAAGAATAAGTACATGCGTTTGAAAAAAGAGTGGCAAGCGTGGACAAAGTTGATGGATTCAAGCAAAGGAGTGTCAGGGATAGGGTTTGACTATGACACCGGTATGTTTCAGGCACCTGACGAGTGGTGGGACAAAATGGAATCGGTAAGTACATGTACTCTTATATTTCATATGTGTCATTTACCAGTACATTTTTAAGTTTTGTAGTTAACTTTTTATTAATTATATGAAATGTAACATCATTCTCTTTCATATATCTCTATTTGAACAGATAAACAAGGTGTGTGCCAAGTTTAGGAAAAAAACCTTGGAACATCGTGACTTGATGGAGATCGTCTTCATGGGGGCATCAGCTACTGGGAAGCACCATTGGACCCCGGGCAAGGAACTTCCTGAAGTTGCTGAGGACTCATCTGATTCAGTGCACAGTTTGGGGGCCAAGCCATTTGCTGATCCGATACCCGCAAGAGTACAAGACGTGGATTCAGATTCTTCACTGGAGCATGTTCCGATCGAAAAGGGGAAAAAGAGAAAGACGCCATCAAGCAGTGTTTCAAAGTCCAAGAGGGCAACAAGTGGAGCGTCAGTTATTGCGGAAAGCATGAACACTCTGACAGATGTGGTGCGTACAAAGAATCAGCAGGTTACAGTGAGGCACGTCACAGGCAACGAATCGCTTTTTACTATTTCAGAGTGCATACATCGCCTGACAGGTATTACATCGCTGGTTGGTACGCCCTTATTCCACTTCGCCACATCACTTATGGATAACGCCAATTTACGGGAGGTGATGATGTGCCAGCCTGATGACGACTCTATCATAGGGTGGCTTACCCAGAAGCAGCTCCAGTGCACTAGGTCAGCGCCTTTTGCAAATCTGTTCGGGCCTCGCCGGATGTGATGTAGCGCTGTTACGAGCGTTGAATATGCCTTTCCTTCTCTTGCATTCTATAAACTTTTACTTATGTTTTTTGTTGGCACTGTATTAAAATAGGATGGTTGTGTGTGCATTTTTTTTTATGTTTCCTTCGTTTATGTTTTTTCTTGCAACGTATGGTTTCCAAAACTTTTAGGTATGGATATGAATGGGACATGACTGGGATGCTGTTATGAAATAGGATGGTTGTGTGTGCACGCTTTGTGAGACATGAATGGGATGCTTCTGTTCAAAGTTTCTGTATGGATATTTTGTAGAATTGGGTAGAACGGATTTCCTTGCTAGCTTTGTGTATGTTTATATTTTCCAAAGTACGATGTTAGTTTCATATCTTCTGTTCAACTTTTGTGGTTGTCACCACCATGGCCGCCCTGTATCACAAAAGTTTAGCAGGTTCACAATTTTCCGATTTTTCATATCATCATGCGTTAAAAAATACATTTGTGATGGCAGTCCGTAAATTGGGTTGTGAACATATTGAATTTTTAGTATTGCAAATTTTGAAATTAATTGACTCGATGAAGGGGAAGCGAACTGATTGAAACAGTGCCACTCTTGTAGGTTTCGCATCAACGAAGACGTAATGAATCCCTGGGATGGAAGTGACAACGATGGAATAATGGAAATGCTTAATCAAATGGCAGTCCTGGTGCAACAAGAACACAACTGCACATTTCTACAAGCATGCCAGTATGCGACAGAGTGGTACCAAAAATACATGGCTAAAACGCCATGTCGCACTTCTATACTGATCGGGAATGCATGGATATCCGAACTATATGCTGGCCATATGGGCCGATTTAAGGAAAACATGTCCATGCCGAAGGAAATTTTTGTCGCCCTGTGTGAAACATTAGTAAATGATTTTGGGTTACAAGTCCCGCAACGTCCACATGGTTTAACTGTTGAAGAAAGCGTTGCAATGTTTATCCATGTGTTGAAAGGGAAGCAAAATCGGGAAATCCAAGAACGGTTCCAACATTCGGGGGAGACTGTGTCTCGGCACGTGCATAACGTATTAACTTCCATGAAGCAGTTCACTGTTGTTCATTGCCGGCCCACATACAATCAGCATCGTATACATCCATACGTGCGATCTAGACGGAAATACCTACCGTTCAAGGTACTACCGAAATACATTCTTCACATATACATAAAGAGTGTCTATTATTTTGTTTTTATTACTAACTGGACGTGACATATGGAAAAAACAAAACACGCTATATTTTTTTAAGCAACAAAAGAATTGGGTTGTTTGCAGGACTGCATTGGCGCAATAGACGGAACACATGTAAGTGCATGGGTTACGGGGCCAGATGCAGCAACATATTTCGGTAGGAAATACTGTCACACGCAAAATATCATGGCCGCAGTCAATTTTGACATGTGTTTCATATTCATTTCGTGCAGATGGGAAGGAAGTATGCATGATAGTCGCATATTCAACGAGATACTAACTAATGACAATGTCTCAATCCCACATCCTGACGAAGGTAACACATGCCGATGTTTGTGGATTTAGAGGGTTCTCTGTACAAATTTTAGGTGTCATACATTGTTGTCATGTCTGCAGGCAAATATTATCTTGTCGATTCTGGTTATCCAAACCGGACGGGGTACTTAGCACCATTCAAAGGCCACCGTTACCACCAACAAGAATTTCGACGTATTGCACGGAACAGGACGGCAAACACGCCAAGGGAGTTATTTAACAAAGTGCACTCGTCCTTACGCAGTGTGGTGGAACGCACCTTCGGTGCCTGGAAAAATCGATGGGGGTTTATTCGAGACATGCCTCGGTATGACTTTGCAAATGTGCAAGTTTAGTTAGTAGGTGCGTCAATGGCATTACATAATTATATACGACGCAACACAGGTAACTCAACAACTGTTCACCCAATCTGTGACGAGGAAGAGGCTATGACAATAGTAAATGTCATACCAGAAGTTGAACATGACGAGGATGGTTTAATGGTTGGGGATGAGGACCCACATATGGCATTGGTGCGCCTTCATATACGCGACAAATTATGTTACATGCGTAATAACGGGATGTTAGGAAATATATAATAGTCGACCTAATTTCCGTAGGGTTGTAACATTACTAATGACACACGTGGAACAGACTGTATTGAAATATATTATCATGTACAATATGTATGTGTGTACACGGGGATATACTCCCTTCCAGTTGGTGACGTGCCGCACTCTGAAAAACCAAAATACACAAGATCGGAAATGCTTAATCCATTTTTTTTAAATGTAAAATAAAAAATGTGAGTGAATAAGAAAATGACAAAATCGTAAATTTTAAAAAAAAAAACGAAAAAAATACGCCTCATTCAACAACATTTAAAAAAAATAACATGAAAACATAAATCATCATTCGCCATGTAATTTACAAAAAAATGAAACACATAAATAACAAAAACAAGTGCTTCTATACCAATAAAAATAAAGGAAAAGAACTAATTCATGTAAAAAGAAAAAAACAAAGACAAAAACATAAATTTAAAAAAATAAAAAAAAAATTAGCAAAATACGCCAAATCGAAACCCAAAATAAAAAAATTAAAACAAAAAAAAAAACAATGAAAGAAAAAAACGCCAAATCCACTTCCAAAATAAAAAAAATAAAAAATTGGTTCGAAAAATACACCAAATCCAAACCCAAGAAAAAAAAATTAAGAAAAGCAAAATACGACAAATCGAAACCCAAAATAAAAAGAAAAAATTAAAAAAAAAAATTAAGCAAAAAACGCCACATCCAAACCCAAAATTAAAATGAAGAAATAAATAAATTAATTAAGCAAAATATGGGAAATCCAAACCCAAAATAAAAAATTTAAAAAAAAAAGCCAAAAATGGTAGTTTGGTAATTTAACAGGATGACACCTCACAAAAAAGTCAAAAATTCAAAAAAGCCAAAAAAGTCCTTCCCAAACCAGGCTTTTGAGCCCCACGCTCATATAGCCAAAAAAGTCAAAAAGTCAACCCCCTTCCCAAACGGAGGCTTAGTATTTAGCTCTATAAGCTTATATGCACTAAGAAAAATTAAGTTACTCAAGCTTGGCTTGTATTCGATTTGTTAAAAACTCGTTACAGATCGACTTGTTATTTAAATAAAATTTTAGACTTGTTAAGTTATTAAATCAAATATGAACAACCTACTACTCAGTTTCAACTTGTTTTAAATCCTAACAATATATTTCCGCTAGGACAAAAAAACAAAAAAAAGAAAGAAAAAAAAGAGAATAGGGTACCTTGTTTGCAAAGTCAACCTCGTTGGCTTTGGCATCATAAGAAGCTTTCAAAATCCTTTCATAAGAAGGACTCAAACTGAAACGTCGATCAATCCACAAACCATTGGCAAACGATATAGATGGACTTGAAATTTGGTTGTTCTTGTTCTTGCCGCCTTTTACATTGGACATCATCGATGTAAGAGGGATAAACTGTGAAGACATAAAATTGAGATCGCCAATACTTTTTGATCCCAAATACGAAAGAAGTTGTTTCAAAGTACGTCCTGTTGATCCTGAGGCGATCAAGCTCAGCATAAAATGGAAAGACAAAGGAGATAACACAAAATTTGAACCCTTGTCGATTTGTTTAAGTAGAACTTGGTTCGCCATTTGTATACAGAATTGTGTGCTGAAATTACTAGTGTAACTGTGATGGACACTCCATTGTGGGTTTCCAAACAAAGTTAGCCAATATCTGTGTCTTCTAAGTTCTTTACTTAGGACAATGGTGTTTATATATAATCGCCCAGACGGACTCCACTATGTAGGTTGTGTCTGGAATTGATTTTTTTAATAAATTTTTATTTTAGTGAATTGTTTTTAATTTAATTTTTTTTTTATAATCTTTCAAATTTTACGTTCTGTTTTGACTACACGGATCAAAAAAGTTTTTAAAAAGAAAGAAAATAATTTCACCCAAAAAAAAAAACCAAAAAAATCAGTTTTTTTTTGTTTTTGTTGTCTATAATGATTTTTTTTTTTTTTAGTTACTTTTTTGAATGCTTCAACATTGGACTTAAAAAAAAATAAATAAATAAAATGTGACAAAAATTTAAGAGAAAATGACTAAAGATAAAATATTCGAACTAAAATGTGATTTTTTGTTTGCTGGTCCCATTCACCCTTCTTCCTTTGGTACTCTTAAGCTAGATTATTGACTTAAAATAAGTCCATAATTAAATTAGTGCTTAAGCACTAATTTGATTGATATTTTTTATTCTTTAAACTTTTTTAATATATATTTTTTTACTTGAAAGAGTTAACTTTTTTTTTAATAACCCAAGGATGTTTGGCAACTTGGTAAAGGCTTGGGGGTTAAGACCCTGGGTCCCAAGTTCAAAACTCTTTGGGCCAATCTCCTGGACGTAGGGCAGTTGGTTAGGAGGTTAGCCTCAAGTTGTTGCTACCACAGCACTTGGTGTGGGCCCCATACTCCCCTGTTGCTTGAGTCCTGACTTAAGCGGAGCTTGTCTTGGAAGATCGGAGCAAGTTCCCAAGTTATAGTCTCCTATCTCGGAACGGGCAACAGGACACCTTGGTGATCTCTGCAAGGGGCGCTGCCCTGGACCTGCGGGAGAGTGGAAGGATTTTCCTGTAACAAAAGAAAAAAAAAGAGTTAACTTTTTGATAGGAACAAGAGTTTACCAAATCAATTAATTATATATAACTTTATGTTTGGCCGGCCGGCACTTTTTGTGGCCGGCCGACCATATATTTTGGTCAAATTGTATTTTTTGCCAGCCGACCACTGTTCATCTGCTTTTGTAGATATTTTTGTGCCAGTTATCACAGCTGGCACCCACCTTTGCTCCCCTCCATACACGTGTATGGAGGGATCTCCCTC